ATCTTCGATGCGTAGTCATTACTAACATTGAATGGTGTTTTGATAATGGCAAGAATGAATAACATTTATTTAATTCTAGCCAATAACAAGGTAAGGTGAAGTATAAGTTCTACTTGTAAAGTTGCAACTTTTGCTTCCAGACTCGTAGATTCTACTTGTGAAGTAGCAACATTTGCTTCTAAACTTGTAGATTTATTTCTCCTTTAGCTATACTTCTTCATTTAATTCAACCTCTTTCTCAATGAGAGAGAACTAAACAAGACATCATATGTCCAAGAAGTAGTAGCAATGTGCTAAATCAATTTCTATAATATACTTCTTAAATTGGAGCATTTCCATTCTTTTATCTTCCAACTATATGAGGTAGTTTCTAATCAATTGGAATTGGTCCATTTAATTTGAAACATTTGTTGTTCATAACAACTTTTAGCATGTAAGTAGTTCTAGGTTTGAGAAGTAGCAACTTGTTTGCATTTCTTGGCCTGTAACTTCTTAATGCAATCCTCATATATTCCTAAACCTTTCCCATTTGAGCCACTTAGAACACTTCTCTTAGGTTCAAAATGATGCTTTGCTTAACTACTTTAAGCACATTTCATGATTTTGCTAAGTCTATTCAATCATCATTCATATTAGAGTTTAATCAACTATTTAACTCTTATATAAAGTGGATGAAGAATAGCGTCATTTGATCAACTTTTGATCATAGAGATTTCCAATCACTTTCTTATATTCAATCATATTGAAGATAAGAGATTTTATTGGACTTTTATACTTGTCTTTTAGAGGGTTTGTACCTCCCATGTCATTATATCCCTTGAAACGCTTTTCAAAATGAAGATGTGTTGGCATTTTACTCAAACATTTTGAATAAAACCAACTCTAGACATGTGACATGGATTTCTAAAACTTGCCTTTTAGAAACATCTTAGCAAAATTTGAATATAGGTTTATGGATTATGTTTTAAACTTTTGAGAACGTTTCTCAACTTTATTTTCAATCGAGGAGATTATATATAATAATAAAATTAGAACGACATGTTACTTGTAAGTAAACGCAAAATTCAATTATGTTTAATAAAATTTAAAGTACCATAATCAATTTAAAATTTATTGGTAGCTTTAAAGCATTTTATTCAATTTTAAATGATCCCCATTGAATAAAATGATTCCAAGATCCTTTATTTGTGCAATAATTAACCAGAGTGAGGCCCTGCCATCAACTATTACATTTTCAAGGTGAGTAAATTCTTTACTGATTACAACTCTTGTAATTCTTGGTTGAATAATTAACCATCACATGTTTAATTATTACCATTAGCTTCAAGGTTCTAAACGCTTTAGGTAACCTTGTTGAATATAACCAATTAAAAGTGTAGAATGAGGTCCTACCCCCACTTCCCCAAGATATATTATGACACTTTGCTGAGGGCCGACCTATCATAAACGATAGAAGGTTTCGTCGGGTTTTCAATTGGAAAAGCTGCATCAATATTACTGGGATCTAGATTTATTATGTTGTGATTATTTAGTGAACTCTGGCGCATCATCAAGCAACATAAATAAACCTAAACATGCATAATCTACTAATGCATAAATAAAACATGACATAGTATGGCCCCTTAATCCTAAGAAAACTAATAAAGCAAAAATGCTCTCACTTGAACCTTCATGGATCTCATCCATCTTGCTCCTTTGGGCCTTCACTTCATTGGCTTTTGGATCAACTGCAACCTGTAATACTATTCTATTCTATTTACTACTTAAATAAAATAAAATAAATTACAAAAATACTTAACGGCACGCAAACCGTATTTAGATAACAAAAATACATCACGATGCGCAGATCGTATTTAGAATCTATGGGCCATACTAGTCTATATATAGCAATAAATAATATCATATATTATAAAGTGTCATATAATAAATCACTCATCATGCTTTCCTAAACTACAACATCGAATGTTCACAATAAAGGAAACATGGCTTCTAAATATCTCATATTATAATTAATTACTGTAATTAGATAATATCATATATTATTCATGACCATCAATAAAATATCATATATTCTAAATTAGTCATGAGATAGAACCAAATCTTATCTTAAAAGATAAATCATATTTATCCTCAAAGATTATCCTAACAAAGTTAGGAAATTCCATCCTAATTACTAGCCAATCACAAAATTTTAAATCAATTATATCCAATATTAATTATGGGATAATCACATTATTTAAATCAATTATTATCCTTTTGGAATATGCTCAGAATATCCTAACAAATTTTATCCAAAACTAACCACTTTAATTATGGATAATTACCAATTTAATAACTTTAAATATGGATAATATCAAATATAACAACTTTTGAACATTTGATTATCCTAAAATAAAAGATTTTATCCAAATAAAACCAATTTTATCTTTTAAAAATAAAAGATCATATTTTCAAAATATTTTATCTTATCCAAAATAAAACTGATTTTATCCCAAAATAATTCATAATTATCTTGAAATAATTTTTCAAAACAGTTTTTTTTTTTTTTTTGAAAAGCCGCGTCAGCCATCGTGGTGTGGCCAGCCGAAGCCGGCCACGGTGGCCGTACACCTTGCGGTGTACGCTGTCCCTGCAGCGACGCAAGGACAGCAGCAACAGCACACACAACGGGGTGGTGCACTTCTGCGCTGCCCCTTGACCGACCTGAGCCCAGCCCACCCTCCCTTCTGGACCACCACCGGTGCGGCAGTCGCCGTGGCTGCGCCACCCAGCCGCGGCTGCCGCACCTCAATCCCCTTTTTTTTTTATTGATTTTTAATTTAAAACAAAACATTTTTATTAAAATTAAAATTAATATGGTCCATCTAACTAAATCATATTCAATTTCAAAATTAGGGTTCTTCATGAATTTAATCCCAATTTAATTCTAACTTTTAAAATTAAATTGATCATCATACATAAAACATTTTTATGCATAAATCAATCCGATTAAAATTATGAATCATAAAATAAACCAAATTAAATCAAAATCAAGCACAAAAAAATCATATTTTAGGGCTAGGATTTTCGAAAAATTCGAAATTTAGGGTTAGGGGGTTCGAAATTTTCGAACATATTAGGGCTAAAAACGGTCATCTTCATGGCTATTTGAGCATAATTAAATCACATTTAATCGATTCCAAAAGTTTAATCACATTAAAATAATAATTGAACCATAATTAAATTAATCTCCCTCTTAATTGAATTAAAATTGTGGACTATTAAAGAATTATAGTCAATATGCGTAAATGCAATAAGCTAACTGATACCACTGTAGGGAATTATAGGTACTAAGCAGCGGAAAAAAAAACATGAATCATATTCATACAGTACCTAATCCCAAGATCTAATGCATAACACATAAAGAACATATAATCGTACCTTTGAAGCGTGATTCCACGTGCGATCGAGCAAGAACATTGGGAGATAAAGAACCTCAAGCGTGATTCCTCTACTTGGTCCACGGGCACAGATTAAGACCTCCACTAATGCTAGTTAGTTGCAATTGAACCCTTCAATTGACCTTCTATGGAGAAGTGCGAGCAACGAACCACCATAAACCACCACGAACCACCACACGCGCCACCAAGGGTGGCCGGCCGTGAGTCCAAAGGGGAAGGAGAGGGAGCCGTGAATTAGAGAGGGAATAAGGGTTTTGGGATTGGTTGCCTTGATGTCAAAATTCACTGTGTGTGAATTATGACTACTTGCTTACAACCCTAGGCATGGATCTTATTTATAGATCTCATCTCTAAATAAGAGCCCATGTCAAAAGCCCAAAACTTATTTCCAATCTAACTATGCTAGCCCAATCCATTTCATGATTAGTTAATTACTCATGAGGCCCATTAATGAGCCTCTAACTTGCTTAACCCAATACCCTTGTGTGTGACCTCATAGGATCCATTCTAGCGGGCTTTGGACCATTCGACTAGCCCAAAGATCATCTCTCATAGTCTAGCAACAGATGATGACGCCCCAAGAGAACGAACTTATTATCTCCATAATAGTGATCCTTGATATATCTAGTAATTGCACTTATCGAAGACACAACTCCTTCAGGTGGGTCAGGTGGAGTGCTTAAGGGTCGATCGACCGTTTTTTAGTGGTTAAGGGGGTGGCCGGTTGTTTTCTGGCGAGAAATGGGGAGGGGGCTAAGGTTTGGCGGAGGTGGGAAGGTGGCTGGGAAAATTTGGGGTTTTTTTTTTGTTTTTATTTAATTTTTTTATTTTCTTTTAATTTTTAAGAATTAAAATAAATAGACTAATCATATCATGACATGTGTCATGATTAGACCCTAATGACTAACGGAGTTAACGACCGTTAGTCATTAATAGCACTCTGTGAATTATTTAAAAACTGAGTGGCATTTGGTGAATTCTGAAAAGTCCGATGGCATTTGGTGAATTTTTAAATTTGTCAGTGGCATTTGGTGAAATAGCCGAAAAAAAAACCTAATAATAAATAAGAGGACGATAATGGAAGTCAGGATATAAACGGCAAGAATACTATTGTTGTTTGAATGATGAGATACCTAGCTTAAAGGCTTGATCTTGAGAAATATTTATATACAAAGTAATTTGGAAGGCTATTGTTCCGGTAGATAGTTCATCTAGTGTATAATATTTGCAAGGTTTTTTTTTTTTTTTTGACAAGAAGTCCTAAAAAAGAAAATACAAACAGAAACTAGAAGGACCAACTAAGAAATTGTCGACGACGAGCCTGAGCAGCCAACCAGTGAGCAGGGGCAATCCACTGACGAGGAACCTTGCGAAGTTTGCAAATAGAGAACTGCAAGACAGAAAGCCGAATCTCGTGAAGCAACTAGTGGCAAGAAATATCTCTGTCACCACCATCTCGCAGAAGAGAAAAATTGTTTTAGTATTGACATAATACTATTTTTTTTTTCTGCCTTTTTTTTTTTTTTTTTTGGTTTTTTCCAAGATTCCAATCTAATACGTTATATTTTATTTATTATAGACTCTCAACGAAAGGCTCATTTATGTAGCAATCGACTTGTTGTTAAAATATTTTTTCTATAAATATTATTATTAGAGAAAACAATCGACTTGCTTTGTATTGATCATCACAAAAATATATCGAGTACAATCAATATTAACGTAACTTGTCCAAAACTTCTAAAAGATATATTTACCTATGATAATTACAAGATATTAACATAACCAATTGACTTCTAATACCTCCCCTTGAGTTGGTGCATGTAGATCACAAATGTCCAACTTGCATTAACAAAAACCCGAACTATTGTCGTCCAAGCCTTCGTGTTACTATAATAGAAGCCTACACACTATAGACATATCACCATAACCATTAAATTACGATGTCTTTCAACCAACTTTGAGCTATCCAAATCCAAATTGTAGCTGAAGGCAAACATGAAAAATCAGCAGCTGGAGATCAATCTTCTCAGCAGGTTAAACACCAAAGCAAAGCTATCTGCTGCCCTTGCAACACTATCTCACATCATTCTCCTCACTGTTTCTTACAACTCAGGCCACTTGGTCGGCTCATCTTTCAAAATCAAAGATATCACAACTTTCATGATCTCCAAAACATCTTTACACTGTCAAAAAATCATTCTTACTACATCTTACCCTCTGTACAGTTAGCTCACAGCTCACTGTGCTGAACCAGTGCCTTCTGAATTCGTTTGCCCGACAATTATTGATCAAGTATACAATGGCACATCCAATGATGACTTCATCATAACCGCCTTCAACCCTTTAATAAAAAAGACTACCAATCCCACCAAGAATCACCTCATCCCTCCTGTCAAAGAGAGCCAAAGGGTGGGGCTTATATGAGGTGAATTACACGAGTTAAATCCAGAGAGTTCAACCAAAGAGCATAATTAAGTTAAGTGCTTCCTTCGATGTATCTGCAACCTACATGGCCAATCTGACAAGTCAGCTAGGCTTAGAGACACAGATCATCTGCCTAGATGAATTTCCGAACAGGCCAGGACCTGTTTGAACTTTGAAGAATTAGCTATGCCATATGGTGATATTATGATGCTAAATCAGTTTATCAGAAATGTGATTTCTCAAAATGCAACAAAATCCATCTTACCTACACAACATTCAAAAATTTCCGCTTCAGAGAAGCTCTGTGAATGGGGCATCTATGGTGACTTAATCGAGGTTAATGCAAGGCATGAATTCCACTCAGCTGGTTCGATATCAATAAGGCTTACAAGCTGTTGAGACCAGATGGAGTTTTATTTGGTCACAAGTTCACAACTATATCTCATCCTACTATGATAAAGATGTCAGACAGGCTGTCAGATTATTTGCCCGAGTCAATAAGTTCCACGTCAAAGCAGATGGACAGCACTGGATGATTAATTCAGCTTGAACAGGGTGATACAAATTGAAGGAATGAAATCAATTACTGGTAATTGGAGTATGGGAGAACCAATCTAACTAGGCTGAGCATAAGAATGATTTAATGATACAAAGCAGCTTAGAAATGCTACAAGAATACAAGACTACTATTGATTTCTGTATAGGATCAAAATACACAAATTATAATGGTGAAACAATTAGAAATCTTGTTATCTGAATTTTGGGCACTTTATGTATTTTCATACTGTATTACTAAGTAAAAAATATGATAGCGACATGGATATTTTTAATCACATGGCATATGTTTTATGAAGACTGTATCTGACTTCCTATGAATTCATTTTCATATGATTTTTCATATGCAGATGTGCTATAATAAGATCAATAAGAAAATTCAGTGGCAGGACCATCAAAAGACAGCCACAAAAGCAGAAAATGGGGATATAAATTCAGTGCAAAAAGAAGGTATCATAAAAACCGGAAATTTGGCATTGACACAGAGATGAAAACATTTTTTGCAACATAACCCATATACCATGATTTCCAGGATTTAGCTGACAATACCCCCCACCCACCCACCACCCCCTCCCCCACCCCCCCCCCCCCCACCCCCCCCCCCCCCCCCCCCCAAAAAAAAAAAAAAAAAAAAAAAAAAAAAAAAAAAAAAAAAAAAAAAAACTTACCAGAATTTAATGAGAAATATTCTAATAAATACAAGGCAAGAAATGATGGAGCCCCCAAATAGGGAAGCTTGAAGCAAGAGTTTCCTCCTCCCAGGACTCAAAACAGTAACATAAAAAGAGCTTGCCTCCAAGATTGATTCACCATCGAGACCGTAGACCTGGTAAAATACAGATCAGCATCATTTCAGTATTTACTGTCCAATGTCATACATGACTTGATGATCAGGTTGCACAATAGAGCAATAATCAATTTTATTATTAAGATAAGAGTTAAATCAGACTGCGCTTTAGACAATAGATTGAAATAGTACATGTGGAGATTAGAAACTGTAAACATCTAATTCTTCAGTTCCTACTCCAGATGATAGGAAAAGTCAGCAGTCTTGAGTGTGTATGGCAAAGGAATATGGCCTACAATTTTTAGAAAACCAGAAGACCTTAATTTTCAGACCCATGACATCACTCTTAACAAGAAGGGAGTGAACACTCCACAGCATCCCTGGATCTTACAAGTTAGGCACATTACCGGCAACTTTATTGTTTTCCAGAGTCCGTCTTTTAATCTCACTTAGATTAGTTGGATGGTGTAATGAACTGACTACCGACCTGGGGAAGGGCATTACGGGTAGTCTAATAGTGTTAATACTTAGTAGTCATCAAATTTAGTATAAACAAGAGAATATGCAATGAATTGAGAGAGGCCATCTATGCACACATGACAAAAGCTTAGTGTAGAATCATCGTAGGGATTGATGAAACCATGTACATAAATAAAGAGAGAGAAAAACATGGTGACAGGCAACTGGTGAGGAAAATTGAGGAGACTTGTGACCTAAAGTCTGAAAGTCACTGCCTTGGAGAGTGATAGCCTCATGCTACAGCTCACTAGTTTGGAGAGTAGTAGCCTCCAAGCTACTAGTTGTAAAATGCTTTAATTTTGCAATCAATGAATCAATCTTTTCTCTCTATTTTGATATTATTTTGTGTGAGCAAGTTATTGAAAAATCTGAGTCATCACGGATGGACCAAGAACAGTGCTTTAATTTAATTTTGGAGTTGCAGCAGGCCAGCAGCAAACTCCCAATAACGGATGGATCAATCTTTTCTCTATTTTGATATTATTTTGTGTGAGCAAGTTATTGAAAAATCTGAGTCCATTACAGATGGACCAATAACATTGCTTTAATTTAATTTTGGAGTTGCAGCAGGACAGCAGCAAACTCCCAAACCCCCCCCCCCCCACCCCCCCAAAAAAAAAGAAGGAAGAGTTCAGCAAGCCGATTAGTGCATGCTACTTTCATAATTTATAACCTGCTTAAGTTGCTTTCCAGAAAGATTACTGGATCAACAAGGTTTAATAAGGAAAAAAGTTTAATAAGGTAAAAAAACTTAAGTTAATTTACTAAAAGCCATACATATCAGCCAACCCAAAAACATAAATTTTCTCCCAGTTGTAACAAAATGAGCATCGCATCTCGAGATAAAAGTTTAAGAACGATAACTTTACATCTCAAGACAAAACTAATACAATGCATAAGTCTAGTGAAAAATATGCAATACCAGTGAACATACCGGAAGGCTGTTGAGGAGGGCCAAAGCAACCGACACTTGGAAGGTGCACGCCAAAATCTTCTCTAGCATATCTGCTAGATATGCGCCAAACGGAGAAGCAACACGTGGTTGGAATGATGTCATACTCACTGAACGTGCCATAGAAATCACATCACCAACAAATAGAAATGACTTGTGACAGTCATCCCCAGAATCAGAACTCTCCACAACAGTCAGGTTTTTTTCTAGTTTCATGCATTGAAGAGAGTAAGGACTTCTATACATAATCTCAACCCACACAACACCAGGCATTTGAACTGGTGACATGCAAAGCTCATTCTGCAAAGATAAAATAAAAATAATAAAATGTAATTAAGAGAGGGGGGGGGGCAATTTCAGATGGTGTATGTTAGGCTGATAGCTATTTAAACCAGGTATTAAACATAAACAAGTCACGTGTCTCGTGTCACATAGTAGACAAGGTCTGCAGAGGTCAAGATGCATAGTAATGCAGTCTCAAACCAAACCAGATCCACAAATTTTGAGATCTTCACCCAATAAACAAAATGATTGATTAAAAATTAGATAAACCAGATGAAGACGTCTACCTCTGAGCATATGCAGCTACTTCTAATATCAGTTGTCCACAAGCTTTTGCAACTTTTAAGCTTGACAATATCAGCAGAATTGAGGCAGTATCCATTATTATTAATTCTCTGAATATCATATGCCTCTTTGTTGGAAGAATGAGCACTTGATTCGAAACAGGGAACAGATACAAAAGCAAAGTGCTCATCGGGACAAGCAGTCTGGTTACTCATCAAGAGCACAGTTACACTTTTCTCCACCAAAGAACTAGGGACACAGTAAGTTTTCCTATTAACAGTCAGAGATCCTTTCATAACCTGGGATTCAGAGCTAACCAATGTCTGCTTTTCCAGAAAATTTGCCATTTCTAGCCATTCTCGTGCATTGCTAATTTTAGTTCCATCCAATGACACAATGACATCACCAGGAGACAGATAACCAGACACAGGTGAGCTTCCAGAGATACCCAGTACCTGCACTCAGGTTATATATGCCAACCCTATAAGAAGCCCATCATCACGTTGCTTACAAACAAATTGATGTATGTACAAATATCACATGGAAATAGTTTATAGATGTAATATTACCACAGGGCCCTCCCCATGTATGTAGAAAGGAGAAAGCATTAGAGGCAACAGCAACAGCGCCAAACCACAAGCTGCACAAAACTTGACAAAGAACCCAAGCAGTTAGCTCTAAGTAACCCACATGGCTAATCTCTCAGAGTAAATTCCAAATCCAAATCACAAAATGCATTAGCTACAATTGGCAATCAACACTCATTAAGACGATTCAGATTTTTTTTTTATAAAAAAAAAAAAAGGAATCTGAACAAACTCACCACAGCATTGTGCCAAATACCAGCACAATATATACGAAGGGCAGCAGAGTGTGGTTTAATTTGCAATAATTCGTGATTAAGTGCAACCAATGCCCCTGGAAACAGAACAGCTAGAAATATGGCAATGTACTCCAACTGTATTCCTTCACTGCTTCCCATTTAAGAGGTCCCTAGAGCGGCAAAGATGAGAAGACAGCTCTACAGTAGCAAAATCTAAATAGATGTTTCATATGTAGTTTCAGCAATAACAGGTTTCTAGACTAGCTCATTCAAATATGCAACACCGGTAGGGAAAAAAATAGCTACAAGAAAACTGGTCATCAAAATAAGCATCACATCATCAGGTTAGACTCTGCTGACGTAAGCGCAATCAAACTAGGTTTAACAGCTATATAACTTTGTGGAATTCAGCTGGAAAATAAAGGTGGAGATTATGGAGAAGAAATTGCATACACAGGAGAAATTGTGAAAGTTGGAACTTAAGCCATATTTGACTTGCATGGTGTGTCAGAGAACCTCAGTGAGAATAATCGGTATTACCTAATATTTTGCCCCCCCCCCCCCCCCTCAAAGGAAAAAAAAAAACAATGGTAAATTATTTCAAGAAAAATAGCAAGGTTAAGTAAAACGGGCAGCATATAAGATCTTTTAATTTTTCCATGATATATACTTCATATTAGTTATAACCTTAATGCAAAATAACAGGTTTTGACTTTAGGATATCATACTACTGTAAAGTTACTTCAAATGTATGCAAATGACATCAGATAGACAATAGCATATTACAATAAAGTCTAAGCTATACTTCATCTTAATACTTAAGAAGTGAAGAATTACAGTGCCTTAAACATTTCATGACTCAATAACAAGTATGAAAGTGTCAATTAAATTGTTTGACCTACTAAAGAGTAGAAATCAAGCCAAAGGGACCACCTGAAGGATGCAAACAGAAGCTAAGTAGAACACAGACAAGGCTGATTGAAGCTCAAGAATTGCAGGCAGCAGGACAAGTATATCCTACATAGAGTTATCATTATTCATTAAAATTGCAGAGGTCAATGAGTAGTCCACAATGGGCCCAACTTCGTTTCTTAGTTATACCTTCAGTCATCAATAAGTCAATATCCTTCAGTCATCAATAGAATAATATTTGTTGGCAGCCATTTCAAGGCTATCCAGCCCAATAGGCACCATCTCTGTATGACAACCCTAACAGACCACATTGGATAGTAAAATTAATAACAAGACTAAACCCAAGCTTATAGCTGTTGTACACTGCATTCTAGTTATTAGTTAAGCATCGTACTAAAAGTTCCAACTCTTGCAAGTTATTAGCACATAGTAGACGGTAAAATCAGAGAGCAACAAAGGGCTATAAGTAAGTATATTAAAAGTTACTTTGAACACATATTGGAGATGGTATCACAAGTTTGAACCACTACCCTGCATATATTAAAAAAGAGGGGTAAAAGAAAGTGAAAATGATTGCAGAATCAGATTCCTTTACTACTTTTAAATATGTACAGAGGGAGTAGCTGGCAACTTATACATGCACACTATTGTTTCACAAATCTTTAGTTTAAAACTTCAGATGCATTATCAACTAGCTAAGCTCAAAGCCTAGATATCTTATCTTACATTACATTGAAAGTAAAACAGCTAGAGAGAGAGAGAGAGAGAGAGAGAGAGAGAGAGAGAGAGAGAGAGAGAGAGAGAGATGACCTTGCAGCAGCAGTGGCATGTCCAAATTCATGCACTGCTATAGATACCACAGTGGAGACTACCAAGTATAAAACATCAGTCAATGACATATAAAAGCCAAAAACCTGCAAGATGGAAATAGTGTGTTAACGCAAGCAGTGTGATGACTGAATATGCCTTTTTAACATTCCAGAAGAACCTTCTTCAAGAGTCAAGACAACTTTGCTCGAAGAAGGAAATCAGTGTCTATTGTCTAAGTACGTACTTAAACAATTTGTGGGAAGAATTGGGGCAGGAAGAGAAAAGCAGAAGCTCACAGAGGGGTTAGCACCAAACAGTAAGGAGCTGAAAAGATCACTTATTTTATCTCTTCCATCAGATAGACATAAAGTAGCCACTGATTCCCAAATAAGAATCTGCCCATACATAAATCAGAAAGTTATGCATGAATCAAGAAAGGTGGAAAACAGGAAAATCATTTTTTGTTGTTGGGAGGGGGTGTTTTTCTAACCATGGTGACTCCAAAAAGCACACTTAAACTGAAACCAACTCCCACAGAAAACCAAACTCTCAAATATCTGTAGAAGCAATCATCATATAGGTAAGCAATAACAGATAAAGGACATTCATATTCATGTCATTCAATAAAAGAAAGCCAAGGCATCTACTGTGGAACATAGCTTCTAATTTAGAACATACAATAAAGAAAAAAAAAGCTGCAAACGTGATGTGGATGGTAGACTGTTTAGAATGACAGATTAACAGGACACTGACAAACAGCTAAAGACTGATGCAACAAAGATAGAACTTTCAAGCGCAATTTCTGGAAGAAGATATTGACCCCAATTATCATGAAACAGCAGCCAACTATACCAATAATGTTCTACCATAATAACATAAATGCAGTGGCTTGGTCACAAAATATCTGTTCTAGCACTCTATTTTGGTGAGAGTGAGGAATGCAAACACAACATGCCTGTATTATTTGTTAAATCTGAAATATTCTTAAGCCAAAATACTCTAATACCTCATTCTGAAAATCTGGAAGTACTCTAAGTTTCTAACCTTCTTGATATCCTAATGGTTTAAAATATAACAGTAAAATCCAGCCGAAAGAGCATATCATTGTTTTTGTTCTTCTTTGCAAGTCCGAATATCTTTTGAATGGTTCAAGATGTACATCATCTTCCCCAAAGAAATTATGATGGTGTGGGAGCCATACTATAAAGTATAAACAATGTTAAAGAGATGAAAAGCTAGAAAAATACGGACATTACCAATATATATAATGATTCAGTGATTCAGCACTTCAGCACATACAAGGTAAGAAGTTTTCTTTTGACATAACAAACATTCCAGGTTTTTTCTGTCTTATACTCCCATGACTTTCAGAAGTTAGACAGCTAATCTGAGTGGACTCAGTGGAGCAAATAAACTTTTGATACACAGCTACGCAACAAGATATACTCCAAAGTCCAAACTTCTTCATCATGAGTCACAACATAATCACCACCATTCGAGAAGATGTAACAATTTTTCATTCAAACAATATGCTAATCAGCATGATGGGGAACACAAATTACTACTAAAATCACTAATATCATTTTAAAACAGCTCAAAACCTCCTCAACCCAAGCATGATAGTCACACATACAATATAAGATGTATAGCTGAAGTAAAATCTAAGCTTAACGGTAATTTTGTCACCACTTGGAGCGCACCTTCTTTAGGAAAACACTAGGAATTAAGTAATGGAGATAACATATGTATGACACAACTTTTATAAAGAGGACTAGATTCTGGCTACAAATTTATCTACACCTATACATCAATGCATTATTCATCAAATTAGCTCATCTCATACTTTTCGCCTCATAATCTAATTAAAATCCAGCAAAGGTTCCTCCACAAAAGGTAAGTACATCACTAAACAAAAACCTTAATTAAGTTTCACAATAAATCACCATGAACAACACACTCTAGAACAAATTGATAATCAATGAGCAATATGTTTGCTGCAATCATGCTCGGGCCGGAACCGGAAACCCGGAAATTATTGTCATATAGAGTACATATATCCACCATTAATTACGGAGTAACAAAATATTATGCAAGCTATGATCAGGTAAGATAAATTAAAGATCAAACATTCAAACATAAAAAGTTATGCATAAAATTGACCTGGCGTATTTCTGCCCAAATTGGTAAATGGGTTCATTGAAACGAGAAATTTTAAGGTCACAATACCTGGAAAATTGGAAACAAACCCAGAAATTAAAATTGCAGAAATTGATTGAAGAGAATATAAACACAGAAAGAAAAAGAGGAAGAAGATACCAGCAAGAAATGGTGTTGGAAAGACGAGTAGAACGCAGGGGTAAAAGGGTGTGAGCTCGAACTCTTGACTGCCGTCTGAATCGCCTTCCCTCCATTACTGTACTCTGCAACTGTCACCTTCTCTCCAATTTGCAATCGAGGAAATTTGAGGAAGCCTCAATTTATGCAGTGTTATTTTCGTAAATAAATCAACATAAAATCTTACTCGTAGTTGGCATCATATATATTTCTATAAATAAGGGCTTATTCGCTTGATTTTTTTTTTTTAAGTTCAGTTTCTAATTTCCTTCTCTCATAAAATATTCAGTTCAATTGAGATAAACTTGTGTTTTTTTTCAAGGAAATTCCTTCTCAATTCAAGGTATGTCCACTTCAGCTTAATTTCAGTTCGGTTCATTTCAGCTCCAATTAGTTCAATTCAACTCAGTTCATAATTTCCTTCTCTCATATAATATTCATTTCATCTCTATTCAGTCCAGTTCATTTCAATTTCAACCAGTTCAGTTCAAGTCAGTTCAGTAAATGTGAACAGACCCTTACTTTCTTGTTGTCTTCTTTTTAGTAAAAACCCTATTATGTCAACTAGATAAGCCCAATATGCAAATTTAAGGAGATATTTGTAATATTAGGGGTGAAATTAAAGATGGGCACAGGTTGTGCTTGATAGGCTATGTCCTACTCGACCGTGTCAAATAGGCAATGTTTGCTAGCTTATTTCATGCAAGAATTAATAATCGTGTTGTGTCAATATAGTATTGATCTTTCAAAATAGAGCCCATGCATAACGTATTAACATGATTCACCTGTTGTTTGTGTCATGCCAGCGGGACACATAATAATTTATATATTTTTTTGGTAAATTGGTATAAGTAAAACATAAGTGAGCAAAAAAAAAGAGAGTTTAGGATACTTATGCATTTTATTCCCTTGGGGCACCCGTGTCTTACCGTATAAAAAAAATGTATTTTATTCTCTCAATTTGGGTACTCCTCCCTTGACACCGGCCCCTTAACCGGATCTTTTACCAAAACGGCTAATTTGACAAAATTATTTACCAAAACGGCTAATTATGAATTTTAATTCCAAAACTAGCTATTTCTTTTATTATTTTGAACCAATTTTGTTCAGGTTCACTTTATTGATTTTTTGTTTAATTTTGTTTTTAAGTTTTTTTTTAAGTTGGAAATTTTAACGACATACGGAGTACAAATATACTAATTTTTTTGTCTAGATCGTATCATTTAAATTTGGAATTTTAAGTAGTATTGTTCTATCAACACTACCGCAAATTTATACAACAATAAGGGATTTTAAGGTATTGTTAATCTTTTTCATGCCTGTTAATTGTATACTTTTGTTAATGTCAGCTAATTTGAATATTTTTTAGTTTAATGTGTATAATAAATAAAATTTACAAATATTTATTACATTATACTAAAGGCGAAACTTAGAGAACACTTGGCAAAATAATGTAAAATGTTTTCCCTCCAAAACCACTTACTAAAAAAAAACTTATTGTAATTAAATTATGACTTTTCGTTTGTATAAAATCTAAAATAAATGTCCTTTAATATCAAATTGACCTTATAACTATTATATGTTTAATTAATTTCTTTCACAATATTTCACACTTACTACTAAGTCCATTTATAATATTTATATCCATTATTTTTGGTAAAATTTATTGTCATTAGAATTATTTAACAACCGTGCATTATTGCACGGGGTTTAATCTAGTGTGATATATAATGGTAGACAATGAATATGTTCTCAGTTGTTTATTTATTTAATTTTTTTGTTAAATAGAAATTTGGAACAATTTTTTTGAGTTTTTCTTTCTATTTTTTTTTAAATGATGATGCTTGCACCTCTTAACAAAGTAGAGTCTCCAGAGAATTAATTAAAACAAAGAAATTAAAACAAACAAAATAGAAAACAAAAGCACACCCTACGAAAAACAAGCTAGCTACCCTCTCATCATTGGATACCTTAAACTATGGCAGAATTCCCTCCCCCTCCCCCCCCCCCAAGAAAAAAAAACCCCAAAAAAAAAAATCTTTAAAAATATCCCATAAAGTGAACCAAACTAGTTCAAAAGAATATAAGAAATAAATAATTTCCTTCTAAGTTAAAAAATTAGCTAGTTTTGGAATTAATATTGATAAGTAGCCGTTTTGATAAATAGTTTTATAAAAATAGTCATTTTTGTAAAAGATCCCCCTTAACCCAACTAGCTTTACCCGCAAGGGCAGGAGCGGCATGACATGCAACTTTACTGCTCAAACACGGCCTTATGGCCCGACCCTTATCCCTCTCAAAGTAAGAGAAAGGTAGAAAGCCATTTCTATTCTAAAAGGCAAAACTAACATAGAAGTTTCAAGTATAACTAATACAATTATTGGACAAGGTAACCTAATGAGTCAAATGGTATAAGATTAATGGGGTGTTTGACATGTGAGAATGGGAGTTTGAACGTCAGAGGTGGAATTGAGATTGAAAAATTAGTCGGTGGTACTTCTTAGGGCTACAGGGGTGTTCATCATTCAGATAAAAAAGAAATCTAATACCATCTGTATAATTTTAACGAATTAGTATTTGTATAGCAACTAGAATATTTTGATAAGTCAGATTTTCAAGTTGGAACAGATTGAAGGGGTTTGGATCCAAATAAACCAAACAAATTGAATTTTTCTAGAAATCATCTAAACATACATAACTAATATTTAAGTCCACTCTATTAGGTATATTTCGAGATCGTTAACCAATGTAGAGACCAATTTGTAACAATTTGTTATTTTTTAAAAATATGTACTAAAACAAAAAATCATTGGATAACTACTTAATATACAACACATTTTTTGTGTGACAAGCCATCAATGTAATTGCTTGTAAAAGAACAAAGTAACCCCTTAAATTATAACACTAATGGAATAACCCCTTATAACACTGACATGATAACATCTATAACACTAAACGAGTAGCTCTTATAGCACTGACAAATAAACTACCATATTAGCTAGTCACACAGTGTGACCAGCCAGTTAGCCACATAAAAGAGTTAGTTATTATATTAAAATCAACTTCCCGTATTTGAAATAAACATTTTGTTTAGGGATGACAATCTAGTCCGGATCCGACACTACTCCGCCCCGATCCGAGGTAAAATATCCGCTCCGAGTCCGAGAAAAAAGTAATCCGAGTTCGACTCCGTTAAAATAATCCGACTCCGAGTCGGAGGAGGGTCGGAGTCGGATCCTATAAAAAATCCGAGAAAAAAATCCGACCTTGATAAATACAATCTAGCTCTTGTACTGGAGTAATTACGGATTATGAGGGATAAATGTACGTAGTTAATTGCTTGTTAATTGATTTTAATTATGTTTTTAACTAGGCAAATGAGGTAGCTCATTAGTGGAAGACCTTTCATTGGATCATTTGAAATTCGACCCTAATAAATTATTGTAATTAATTAGTTAATAAATTTAAATATTTTATTTACTTATAACATGCTAGAACATAATAAAGCGAGAGATAAAAGATTTAAATTCCGACCCCTCTAATAATTTGGTCTTGCCACTATAGCTCATGGCATGCATGGCTGATTTGAATTCACTACAATACTGAACAAGAACATGAGTGTGGGTCCAAGGGTGGGTAACTACAAAATTGACTTTGACCATACATACGAGCATTAAATTACAATAGCACCAAATCCATCTTTAAATAGCAAGCAAAGTTTACTAAGAAGAGTATAACCTAGCCAAATAGCTAATTTAAAAACAAATAAGCTAAGCAAGCTTGCCGATTAATTAACATGATGAAACATGCAATTTGCATCCCATTTCCATCAAAAAGCCATATATTTCCCATGCTAAAATTTGCTCAAATCCTCCATTTCAAATATGGATTCCATATTACCTTCCTAAACACTCATTACTTTCATCAAACCCTTTTTCAATCTACCACCCAAAATGATGCAACATTTTCTTCTAAGGGTGATTCTAAAATTACCTTCAAATTCGAGTCCATTCTCGACGACTCAAATGATTTGGTGTCCGGTGTTGATTCTATTATTGATGAGACTTTGGCACCTCTCCTTAAGGAAGTCCTTGTAAAACTCGGTAGTAAGTCTACGAGCTTGTCTTGCATGGTTTTTGATGTCGCGATGTCCAAAATTACCCTTGATGTGGCTGAAGAAATGGGGATTCCTGCCGTGGGGTTGGACGTCATTAGCGCTTGTGGAGTGTTGGGTTACTTGCAAGAATGTCAACTTCTTGACAAAGGGATTATACCCCTAAAAGGTACAGTAGACAGCTAACTTCTTTGTTTGGAAAAAAATATAACCCTTAAATAAGTTAGTTTAATGTATGTACAACTTGTTTAATCTACTTTGTTCTTATCACTATATAATTTAATAATTGCTTAGTTATCTCACAATCACGTAATTTTGAACAAAGAAAATAATCACATGGTATTCATTTAGGGGGAAAAAATTGAACAATTTGACCTAATTGAGAATTTAATTATGATTATATAAGATTTTTGGGGCTATTGCTATCGGATTAATCAAGTTAAAGCAATCAATACTCATTATTAAAGTAGATATTAATGTTAAAAAATATACTGCCTTCGTTCATAATTTGTTGCTTTCACACCTAATTGATACAAATATTGTCTTAGGTGCCATTCATTAGTTTACCTTGTCTGTTTTTGCTCATGTGTTCTGTTTTGAAACTTTTTTTTATTATTAATATTATTTATTATCCGAATTTATATTTTTTAAATCTAAACTTATTTTTTTCTAATATGATTTGACCAAATGTTAACCTTGTATGCACAATCTATTTTTAAATAAATACATCAAAAAGGGTTCTTATTAGATGCATCCGTAATAATATGTATTTTACTAATAATGTAATTTTCATAATTCTTAGCTTGTTAATTAAAATAAAGATATTTATCAATTAAAAGTTGCAAATAAAATAATAAAGTTTATTCTAAACTTATTTTTCTGACCGAATTAGATCTAAATTAATTTTTCTGTTTTGATTTGAAATAAATATTGAGGTCTTGAAATAAGGCTAACCAAACATGACCTTACTCGCTCTAATATGCATATATAATGTATGTGCGTGCAGACTCAAGCTGTCTAACTAATGGTTATCTTGAGACGATAATTGATTGGATACCAAGTTTGAAGGGAATACGCTTAAAGAACTTGCCAACTACATTCAGAGCTACAAATCCAAATGATAGATGTTTGAACTATGTAAGCTCATATTTAAAAAAAGCTCTAGAATCAAAAGCAATCATCCTAAACACATTTGATGCTTTAGAGAAAGATGTCCTAGAAGATCTTTCATCTTTTTCGCCGAACATCTACGCAGTTGGTCCATTCGATTTGTTACTTGACCAAATAAAAGATGTTGATGTAAATGATATCCATCGTCCAAATAAA